CCCGACTCCTGCACCCCCCCCCCCCCCCGCCATTTAAATAAAGCATGTTCATGTTCCTGTTAATTAAGCAACAAGAACATTACCAAAGTTAAGGATCCAAACAACTCCAAGCACATCTGCCAATGGATCGTGAATACACGCACATCCATATTAACCCAATCATTTAAAATAGAACTCAACTAGCCCCTTTCTAATCCTTCATCGCTGGGGAAAGGAAAACCTCCCATCTCTCAGAGAGATCTTGGGGTATGTCTACACTACCACCCTAGTGGTTAATGTAGTCAATCGAAGTTAAATATCCCAGGCTTCATTTGCATCTTGCTGGGCGCCGCCATTTTTAAATCCCCGGTAGTTCGGACTCCGTACCCGCGGCTACATGCGGCACAGAGTAGGTAGTTCGAATTAGGCTTTCTAATTCGAACTACCATTACACCTCGTTTCGAATGGTAGTTCGAATGGAACTAGACTGAGGTGTGTGAGGAGCACATTCTGCTCTCATTTACATGGGTCTAATTCTAAGTTAAGCCATTTAAATTCAGTGGAGCTAGTCCACATTGAATAAAGAATCTGGGGCTACAATCACAAACACCAAAGGTGTCCTTTTCCTGGACATTAATCTCCACCCCATCAGTTTCTTCAGGGCAGTTTTGATCTCCTTGTTCTTCAGGCTGTAGATGACCGGATTCAGCGTGGGAGGCACCACGGCGTAGAGAACACCCATGACTAGATCCAGATTGGATGCTGAGCTGGAGATGGGTTTCAGGTAAGCACAAAAGGCCGTCAAAAGTAACAAGGAGACCACAGCGAGGTGGGGGAGGCAGGTGGAGAAGGCTTTGTGCCGGCCCTGCTCCGAGGGGATTCTCAGCACCGCTCTGAAGATTTGAACATAAGACAAAAGTATGAAAACAAAGCAATTCAAACCTAAAAGCACACTAAAGCAAATAAGCACAACTTCACTGGGATAGGAGTCGGAGCAGGCCAGCTTGAGGAGCTGGGGGATTTCACAGAAGAACTGGTCGGTGACCTTGGACTGGCAGAAGGGTAACCGGAAGGTGTTCCCGGTGTGCAGGGCAGAGTAGACAATACCAGCAAGCCAGGCACTGGAGGCCTTGTGGACACAAGCTCTCCTGTTCATCACTCTCTCGTAGTGCAGGGGCTGGCAGATGGCGACGTGTCGGTCGTAGGCCATGACAGTCAGTAAGAAAAGATCAGCTAAAGTGAAGATTAAAAAGAGAAAGACTTGGGCAACAGGAAGGGTAGGAAATTAACCTGGTGTCGAGGAGGGAATTGACCATGGATTTGGGGATGGTGACAGAGATGGAGCTGAGGTCTAGGACAGATATGTTCACCAGGAAGAAGTACATAGAGTTGTGCAGAGGGTGGTCGAGGACAATGGCTGAGATGATGAGTAGGGTCCCCACCAGGGCTGCCAGGAAAATCAGTAGAAATACTACAACATGCAAAATCTGCAGCTCCCAGACGTCAGGGAATCCCAGGAGAAGGAACACCGTCACGGTGCTTCCGTTGGACATTTTCATTTTCAGCACATCTTCTGATGGCTGCAGAGGGAAGGACACAGACAGGGTGGGGATTAGAGTACCCTGCTGCATCCGTCTGTCCCATCTAACGATCGGGCTCAAGATGGGGCTGGATAAAATGCAGAGTGGAGGATGGAGCAAAGCGCAATCCCAACGCAACTGCTTTGGATCATCTCAGCTCATCCCCAACAAAGCCCGGCTCTAATCCCTCCAGCGCATCATTGACAATCTGCAACCTGACCTGGAAAACCATCTCCCCCTCTCATGGGCCTTGGGGACAGGCCAGTCCTCACCTGCAGACACTCCCAAGCCTGAAGCAAATTCTGTCCAGCAACCATACAGCACACCCCAGACATAATCACAGGACCTCACACATCAGCTACCACCTCCAGGGCTCAGACAACCGCACATCCGCAAATGTGATCCATGCCAGCAATGCCCCTCGGTCGTGTGCATTGGCCAAACCAGTCTCTGCGACAAAGAAGACATGGACACACGTCAGACATCAGAAATAGTAATGCACATAAACAGGTAGGAGAACATTTTAACCTGCCTGGGCACTCAATCCTACATTTAAAAGTAGCCAGACTGAGTTAGACCTAGAATCCATCCAAGCTAGTGTCTTCTCTACCCACTATGGCCAACACCAGATACCCCAGAGAGAGGGAACAAAACAGATAATCCTCATGTGATCCCTCAGGGTATGTCTACACTACAAAGTTAATTCGAACTAACAGACGTTAGTTTGAATTAACTTTGATAGGCGCTACACTAGTGCTCCGCTAGTTCGAACTTAATTCGAACTAGCGGAGTGCTTAATTCAAACTAGGTAAACCTCATTGTACGAGGACTAAGCCTAGTTCGAATTAACTAGTTCGAATTAAGGGCTGTGTAGCCACTTAATTCGAATTAGTGGGAGGCTAGCCCTCCCCAGCTTGCCCTGGTGGCCACTCTGGGCACCACCAGGGAAACTCGTCTGCTCCCTTCCTGGCCCTGGAGCCCTTAAAGGCTATGGTGACCGTGCCAGGTGCAGGCCTGCCAGCACCCAGCCAGCAGACCATATACCAGGCACGGCTCGAGCGAGCCA